CTGGGGGGTTTCGTGGACATCCCTTTATCAGCTTGGGGAGTCACCATCTGTTCCTAGTTGGTTGAGTGTTTTCATCATGAAGTGGAGTTAACTTTTGTCCAATGCAATTTTCTGGATCTATCGAAATGATCATGGGGTTTGTCCTTTCTTTTATTGATACAGTCTATCACATTAACTGACTTTGGAATGCTAGACCATTTGAGGGATGACTCCCACTTGGTCATAGCTATAATCCTTTTTATATACCACTGGATTCAGTTTGCCAGTATTTTTTGAAGATTTTTACATCTATATTCATGCTGTTTTCTTGTGTCTCCCTTTTTATTTCTGTGAAGTTGGTAGTAATGCCCTCTCTTCTATTCTTGATTTTATTAATTTTATTTAGTCAGACTAAGGGTCTATCAGTTTGGTTCATCTTTTCACAGAGCCCCCTTCTGGTTCTGTTGATTTTCTGCATAGTTTTTCCAGGCTCTGTTGCACTTGTTTCTGTTCTAGTCTCTGTCGTGCTTTTATTTTGCTGGCTTTCAGTCTTGCTTCACGGCTTCATCCAGTGTCTTCAGGTGGAAGTTTAGGGTGTTGATCTGAGAACTATCTTCTTGTTTAAAGTAGGTGTTTACATCTATGAATGCTCCTTTGGGTGCTGCTTTAGCCGCATCCCATAAACTTGGCTATGTGGCATCTTCATTTTCATTCCTCTCAAAATATTCCCTGACCTCCTTTGTGATTTCTTCTTTCATCCACTGATTATTTAGGACTGTCTTATTTAATTTTCACCTATTTGTGAATTTCCCAAATTTATTTTTGTTATTAATTTCTAACCCCCCTCTCTTGTTACTGGAGAATATACTTTATATGCTCTTTATCCTTTTCCATGTGTTCAGGCTTCCTCTGCGGCCGGCAGGTTGTCTAACCCAGAGAGCACGTCTCAGGCATGTGAGAAGAGTGTGTCCTCCTGCTACGTGGGTGGGATGTTCTGTGCATGTCTGCCTGGTCGGGTTGGTTCGGGGCATTGTTCAAGTTGTCTGTCTTCCTGCTGGTCCTCTGTCCAGTCTGTCCATTACTGAGAGTCGGGAGGGTGGATGTCTGTTGCTATCATTTTTGAGTTGCCTTTTTCTTAGATTCTGCCAATTTGGGGGCCATGTTGTTAGATGCACATATAATTTTCCTATCTTCCTGATGGAGTGATACTTCTATCATGAGCAAAGGTCCTTCTTTATCTGTAGTAACACTGTTTTCATCTGAAAGTCTATTTTGTCTGATATTAGTACAGTCACTCAGTCTGCTTGAAGCTGATGGTGGCATGATGTCTTTTCCCACCCTTTTGCTTACAACTACTTGTATCTCTGAATCTAAAACATGTCCCCTGTAGACAGACAGCATGTGGTTAGATGTGGCCTCTTACCCAGTCTGACAGTACCTGCCTTTTGACTGACAGTTTGTCCACTCACATTGAATGTCACTGATGTGGCTTTATGCCCAACATTTCACTTTTGTTTTCTACGTGTCTCGTGTCCTGTTGGCTCCTCATTTACTGTCTTCTTTTGCATTAAGTGGATATTTTCTGGGGTGAAATCTTAACTTCTTTGATGACCTTTTCCACTAGTTTTTGAATAATTTTCTCAGTGGTTGCTTGAGGGCTCACCTGTACTTTGAACCTGGAACAGTCTCCTTCACATTTACAGTCCGATTCCCGTGAGATGCAGAAACATGCCTGTTGTGGCTGACGTGTTGGTACCGTTACACATCATGTCATGTGTGTTACAGATGTAACAATCCCGTGTGATCACTGGTCCTTTACATAATTTCATGTTCATTAAAGAGTCTGAGAAGAGAAGGGACAGTAAGTATGTATTTATGGGGTTTGCTCTGCCGGCCCTCTTCGCCACTTTGACTTCTCTTCACTTGGTCCTGTGCATTCAAGCTACCATCTGGTGTCATTGCCTTACTCCAAGAAAACTGCCTCCATCCACCTCCTTTGTGCTACTTTTCTCAAATACATTACATTTCTATATGTTATAGTTTCAACAATACAGTTATACATATATTGTTTTACATAATTGCTTTCTAAGTCAGTGAAGGAAACAAAGAGAACTACACCTTTCTTCTGTGTTTTATAATTACCTGACGGTCTTTACTGGCATTCTTTGTGGATTTGTGTTTCCGTGTAGGAACTTCCTTTGGTATCTCTTAAAAGGCAGGCCTGCTAGCAACACATTTTCTGCAATTTTGTTTATTTGGGAATGCCTTTATTTTGCCTTCATTTTTTAAGACAGTTTTGCTGGATGTAAGATTTTTGGTTGACAGAATTTTCATCTTTCAGCACTTTGAACATGTCACCCACCGCCCCGACCTCCACTGACACTGATGAGAGTCTGCTGACAGTCATGGTGAACTGACACGACAAGTCGTTCTTCTCTCTCTGCTTTTCTCTTTATTTTTACAAAGTGCAGGTGGATGTGGATCTTTTTGTATTTATACTTAGTGGAATTCATTAAGCTTCTTTTATGTGTACCTAAACTTCCAACAAATTTGGGGAGTTTGGGTAATTGTTTCTTTGAATATTTTTCCTGCTTTCTTGCTCTCCTCTCCTGGTGCTCCCATGACAGATATGCTGGTGTGCTTACAGGTTTCACACCTTTTCCAGAGGTTCTATTCATTTTTCTTCTATTTTTCTGTTTTTAGGATTGCATAATTTCTACCAATCTAAGAGTTTGCTGATTCCTTTTTTGTCTATTCAAATCTACTCGAGTCCTCTAGAGAATGTTCCCATTTCAGTTATTTTCAACTCTAAGATTATAATTAAAAAAATAATTTCTAGGTATTTCTTGATATTTTCTATCTGATGAGAAATTAACATATTTTCCTTCACTTCTATAATGCAATTTCCTTTAGTTCTTTGAACATATTTATAATGACTGCTTTGACTTATTAATTTCAACATCAGGCATTCTCATGGGCAGTTCCTGTTGTCTGTTTCCCTGCTGTGGATGAGTCTCACTTTCCTGTTTCTTTCATGTCTTACAATTTTTTGTTGAGAACTGGACATTTTAGGAAATATATTGTAGAAACTTTAAATAGTGATGCCTTTCCCCCACCTGCAGTTTTTGTTGTTGTTCTTGTTGTTTTTGTTTTTTGTTGCTACTTGTGTGCTTTGTTGAGTGATTTAGCTCGCCTCTTCCAGGGAAGTCTGCCCAACCCCTGAGGGAAGGACACAGCCGCGGGCATGCACACAGGCACTGGGAGACTGCAGTTTAAACAGGGCTCTTTTTAACCGCCTCTCCCCGATCTCTGTTACTCTGTCTCCCTTGGTATCACAACCACCCCACTGATTATTGATTGCCTTATTGTTTTCAATAATGGCCTGGGCCATAAATTTCTCCACTGTCTGGTCCAGTTAAACTGGGGCAGGGCTACTTTTGGAAGCCAGTCTTTGATATTTGTCCTAACCCCAGGCTCTTCTTAGCCTTGAGTCAACTAGGTGGCCTATTAGCTTGTGGCTAATTATGGGCTGTATCCCGCACCACCCCCCCCACAATTCACTTGATGAAGTCCCAAGTCCAGGACCTCAGAATGTGATTGTATTTGGAGACAAGGCCTTTAAAGAGGTGATTAAGTTAAAATGAGGCCACTAGAAAGGGCTCTAATCCAACCTGACTGGTGTCCTTATGAGAAAAGAAGATCAGGACACAGAGGGCACTCCAGAGATACCCACACACAGAGGAAAGACCACGTGAGTGCACCACAAGAAGGCAGCCACACACAGGCCAAGGGCTGAGGCCGTAGGAGAAACCACCCCTGCCTATAACTTGGTCCCAGATTTCCAGTCTCCAGAACTGAGAAGAACATGTTTCTGTGCTGCTCTGTTACGCTGCCCAAGCACACGTTAATAACTGCTTTTAATGAAGGAGAACTCTTGTTTCTGAACTTCCCCACAGTGTGTTTGGAGAAAGTTCCTTTGCGAAGAGCTTCAGAGCTCTCTCTTCTTATGGGCTGCCTCTCCCCCTGGGCTAAATCCCCACTCTGGGCACTGGGCAGGGCTGTGGCCTCCAGTCTTTTGGCTGGCTTTCTCACTATGAAACCTTTGTGCTGATCAAGGGCGGAAAGAGCAATTGGGATCCCAGTATTCCTGGCCTCTGTTCTGGGGTGAGGCCTCTGTCATACGAGTGGGGAACCACATGAACCCCCAAGCCTCCACCCCACCCACTGGTAATTTAGCCTCTTCCGCTGTGTGCTGGTGAGATACGGTGACCCTAAGTCAGAAGCTGAGGAGAGGGGGAGCCCCATCTTGGATACACACACCCAGAGTGGACCTTCTGTCAAGCTGAGCTCAGCTGGTGGGAGGGAAGGAGCCACAGGCTTTCACTGTTCTTACAGAGATTTTTAGCATAAATGTTTCTTCATGTGATGTATGCCCTTAGGGCCATTTCTAGGGGCTTTACACCATTTTTCTATGATATTCCCCAGATGTGCTTGTTTTGCTTGGGAGCAGGTTCACAGAGGTCGTCATCTTGCCATCCCAGCAGTCCTGCCCTGCACCTTCTAACTCCACCCTACATCTTCATGCTTGTCCTTCAAGTAGGACTTGCTACGAGTGACATTTTCAAAATGCGGATCTAACTGTATCATCCCCCTCTTAAGATCTCTTCAATAGCCTTTCCTGGCCCTCAAGACAAAGAAAAACATCCTTAGTCCTGCTTGACCCTGCGTGGGCTGCCTTCCTCCCGCCTCTCAGCCTCCACTATCCGCTCTCTCCTGTGCTCTGCCAGTCTCCCAAGGCCCGCCCTGCCCGCCACACACACACCATGATAAGGTTGTTCTGTCCTTAACCCTCAACCCCGCTGCCAGATGGCAGCCTCCCATCCCAGCGGAACTCAGCTCCATTTCTGCCCCCAGGGGAAGTCCTCGACTGAGATTCACCCAGACCTGTTGCACTACAGACCCTAATAAGACCATGTACCTCCCCTCTGTAGCATTATCTTGGGGCCACTTTGATGGCTTACATTTATTGTGACTATTTATTCCTTTATTCAAGGCTGTACTCCAAGAGAGCAGGGTTGTTGCTTAACCACTGTATTCCAAAATTTAGCACAGTAAATAGTAAACGCCCAGTAAGTAACGGGAGGGCCCTGGGCGGATGACACAGGTGCTCAGATGAGGGGCATGAGGTCTCAGGTGTGGGTGGGGTGAGGTCCAAGGGGGACTACAGATGAGGTCCTCGCACCCTATAGGGCAGAAGGTAGAAGATGATGGGGCCTCCACCCCCAACGCGGTCTTCTGGCGCCATCACCCCAACCCTCCCATGCTGGCCACACCCCCAAGGCTCAGAGGCGGGAGGGGGTGGTCAACCCGGCCAGTGGGGCTGCAGGTGTGGCCGCAGCTGCGCTCAACTGCCCCTGCTCACCTGCACCTGGCGCTGCAGCTGCCTGGCCCGCTGCTCCAAGAAGCGCCCCCAGCGGCGGCCCTGCGCGGGCATCACCAGGCCCAGCTCTCAGCCACAGAATCCGCGTGGGTGGGCAGTTTGCGCCCCATGGTTTCCACGGCGACGGGGTCAGGGGACTGCCGGGGGAGGAGGGAGGCGTGGGGAGGGGAGCGAGCGGCTGCATTTGAAGACCCTATCCGAAATATTGTGGGTGTTCCAAATCCCATATAAATGACAAGCCTCTTGGGTGGTACGAACTTAACTTCTGTCCTTCCCTTTTTACATCTGACAAGTGACTATGGCTTCCTTTCCCACAGGAACGTTGATCTGTGGGGTCCACACACAGGAACTCAAGTCAGCATCTGCTGCCTCACTGAACGGATCCGAAGGAACAGGCAAGGCAAGGCGCCACGTTGCTGCGAATAAGCCACATCCTCCCCCACAGCACACTCCTCCGAAGCTGCCTGAAACAGAAATGACAAAGACAGGCGCGGAGTTGGGGCTCGCTGGGCAGCCGGGAGGTGCGAGGCCTCCTTCTGTGCTGCTGGGGGCTGGCAAGGCCACGGGCGGGGAGGGGGCCCCGCGTGGGGAGCTCCAGCACACCTGTGATGCACACACACGATGCACCATGTGTGATGTGAGTGTGCTGTGCACACGGATAGAGTGTGACCCCTCCTAGAATAGACGCCCCGGGGGGCCTGGGCACGGGGACAGGCCGGCCGCACTGGCCGGATGGCAGGGTGCTGCCCGCCGGCCCGCCATGTCCCTCCCACCACTGCACCTGCCCGAGGCACGTCTCAAGACATCTGCTGGTGCCACATCCACCGGCCTTCCTCCGAACTGGCGCCTTCAGCACGGTGGGTCGCGGCTGCGGGCAGAGCCTAGTCCTCCCTGAGGCTGACGCCAGCTGCAGGCCGCGGGGAAACGACACGCTGGGTTTCAAAGGCTTCCTACGAAAAAGAATGCGGACTACCGCGTGCGCACGGTTTGTGCCGACCGCATAGTGCCAGGGTAGTTTTCGGACATCTGGGCTGAGTATGAATATGCTGAAATTTACTTCCTGTTTGCCTTTTCTCTTCCAACGCGGCTGCTCAAGAACGGAATGTCCTAAGTGATTAGGGGCGCTGGACCATCGCCTTTACCGGGAGAATGTGGAGAGCTGTTCCAGGGGATGAAGTGGGGGTTGGTTAGCGGCTGGCCTAAGTGCTGTGTTGCGGTCCCGTGATGCCCCCAAGCCCGGCCTCCCACCCCTTCCCGCGCTCTCTCCCCACCGACCAAGCCCCGTGCAGGCAGCTGCATGAGGGCCGTGAATGTTCCTCCAAAGCGTGAGGCCCTCCTCCCTGGTGCCCTTGGCTCCCGCGATCCGTGCCAAGGTCTCCTGACTTCTGCGGGTGGCAGCCTCTCTGCCCAGCGGTCTCCTCTGCCTGCGACAGCCCCTCCTCTCAGGAGGGAAGCCATTTCCGCAGAGGGCGTGCCAGCAGGAGTTAGATGGGGCCCTCCTGGGCAGAGTGCCCGGTGCACCTGCTGTGTACAAACTGAGAGAGGAGCCGTGCTCACTTAACTGTGGACCCCTGCCTTCCCACATCGGCTGTGGGACACTTGGAACCCGCGTCCCCACTGGCTGACACAGAGCAGGCCCTCCTGAGTTGTGTTTGTGAAATAAAGTGGGAGAGAAATGGACTTTTATGTTTGGAGTTGTACTCGCATCTTTTGCGGCGCCATGACTTTGAACAAACTGGATGAATAGCTGTGCACTGAAACCGGTCACTCGGCATCTCCTCTCCTGGGAGACTCCCTGCTGCAGGCGACAGGGGCATGGAGACCCTGAAGGTACGACTCGGCTTCCCACGCAGGGCACCGGCATGGCTCAGTCGGTTAAGTGGCCACCTCTTGATTTCCGCTGGGGTCACAATCTCCAGACGGGGCCCCGAGCTGGGGGTGGAGCTTAGACTGTCCCTCTGCCCCTCCCCCCCAAAACCAAGTCAGCTCCCCGAGCAACAGAGCGGCGGCGATCATTTTCCCATGGCACACGCTAGAAAACCCTGCAGGGCCTGCTGCTGTTGTGATGTCCACCACAGAAAGCCTCGGTAGGGTAGACTCCTTACTTCCACGAGGAGCAACAGAACTGCGGTCCTTGAGACAACCTGAGTCAGTCTCTAAGTTTCGGTCCTCCCAAACTTTAAAGCACCTTTTTGGGCGTTAAAAATACATTACCAGCGAATATCCTCATTCCAGTATATAAGCAGCTGGTCCTACCCAAAGGCCTCCCTGAGCTTCTGCAGCCCTAAGACATTCCCTCCTTCAGGAAGGCCCTTCTCGAAATTCTGGGGCCGCTCCTTCACCCAGCACGCCTGCCCCGCGGCCACAAAGGAAGGTGGACTGGGTACAGGGAACACAGGAGTCAGCACTGGGGAGAGGCAGGCCCCCGCCAGGTGCAGCCAGGGCCCCCCCAGGTGCAGCCGGAGCGCCGGCTCCCTTCTCGCGCCACCTGTGTGCTTTCGTGACCGCCTCCCATGAGCCACCTCAGGCGGATCTTCGCTGCTGACGCATCGCCAGCACATGTGATCCACACAACTTAGTAAGTTCCGGTGTGCTTAAGAATCCAAGAGGCAATGAAGGGACCGTGTGAGTCTGTATGACCACGGGGTCGGCTGACGTGCCCAGCAGGTCGTGGAGCCGGGCTGGGCAGATGAGCGTGGGGGACCACGGCAAGAGTGGCCCGCGGCCTCTGTCCAACAGCCTGCACGATCAGGACAAACCAGAAAGAGCGCCTGACACAGACGGGACCCTTGGGGGACCTCTCGTGAATGATGCGTGAATGATGTCACAGGCAGAAGCGGACGGGAGGCAAAGGTGCAGATCACAGATGTAATTCTGCCCGCACGAGACTGCAGTAACAGCAAACACACTTAAATACATACAAAGTTTATTAAAAATAGATTGCAAATGAAGTACAGTAGAAATGGGAAAGTACAGCAGTTGTGGTGTCCCCAGTGACGCAGTTATGAAAAGCATGTGTTCACATTTGATCTGATCGCCCAAGGGTGGCCCAGCCCACCTGCCCACGGGCCTGATGACCACACACACAAATACCCCTGCATGTCAGTATTTACATGTATTTGCATGTACTTACGCGTAGTTGCTATTTCTCTATATAGTAACAGAAAAGTAATTCATCTGCATCTTTTCATGGAAGAAAGTGTGAATTTAGTCCCTATAAGGCGGCCAGTGTTCTCGAGCTATCTGGGAGGGGCCTGCTTTTCCTGGAACCTCCAGAGCAAACACCCACATCCTTCATAAACACTTAGAACCATGTGACTCTCTTAAACAAGGGGAACGGTGAGAGCACACTTCCAAATAAGAACCCCGATAGACGTAAAAATATTTACACTCGCATTTCAATGATTTATCATACAGCTCTCATTAAAGTGATTTCTCAGGCTAAAAAGCCTCTCCCTCTTCTATTTGAAAGTGTGTGTATTTTTCTAACATATATATTTGTAAGAGAACAATCTGGTACAGAAGAATCACCGAGACCCCACAGCAGGGTTTTGTCAAGTAGAAAATTTGCTCATAATCACAAAGTAAGTTAGCACTTCCACGGCACACAGTAGAAATCGACATGAGATCCATCTCCCCAGCATCAGCCACACGGTCACAGCTGAAGAAACAACTGCGATGCCCAATGACTCAAAAATGAAAATTAAGTAACTCTATTCGATGTAAGAAAATCGCTTAAACTGCAGTCCGAGGCTGTGTGACATTGTTAGTCACCGAGCCTTCCTTCCCAGACAACACGCGGATGGAACTGGTCCTTCCTCGAAGGTAGAATCCCTGAGCCCCAGCCGTGTCAAGCGTCACTACTAACCTCCCATCCCTCTCATACTTCCGCGTCTCTCCACATCAACACAGCCCAGCTAAACAGATCCTCTTTTATAGATTCTCTTGAATAGTCAAGATACTTAGTGAACTCCCTAACTGAACTGCCATCTTCAAAATCACCAATGATTTATTAGTCTAACAATAATCTGGCATTTATAAAAATAAAATATCCTAAGCTTAAATCCTCAAAATTTTCTTCTTGGAGAATTTTTTTCTTAAATTACCTATTTAGAATATAGCAGGAGGGCTGTCCCTGGATGGAAGCAGAGGGGGCAGGGTCCTGATAGGCACCACCTCCCTTCTGGGCCGCGTGGGTCTGAGCTGCCTTGGGTCCCCCCTCCCCGGGGGGGGAGACAAGTGAGCAAGGCGGGGGGGCAGGCTCTGCACTGAGCCCCCATGCGGGGTACGCTCAGGTGTTCTCTCTCCTGGAAGGGGACACCTCGCCCTCGGGGGACACGGTCTGCAGCTGCTACTCAATAGCACAAACAAGGTCTGGGCAGGTCAGGCAGTTCCCTGCCTGGTCGCCACAGCACCGTCGGCAACCCAGAACACACACGGCCTCTCTGCACCGCGCCGGGCGAGGCCGAAGACGTGTCCCCACCGTGCTCTCCTGCCTTGCGTTCTCCCCTCTGCCACTCAGACGCTAAAAAAAGAAACAAAAAACGTATCTTCATGTGAGTCAGATTAAGAAATTAGACAGTGTTTACGTTGTATAAGTGATCATCTCCTGGTGAATGAAAAGAGCGTCTTGGAACGGGACCATCTCTGGATCCCGGCCGTCTCAGCAACCGTGCTTCTGGGACGCGGACACGCTGCGCGCGGCCCCCGCCCCGAGCCCGTCCTCCAGAGACGCGCCGACAGGCCCCTGGGGCGCACGGGCACCTTGGCCCCGTCTCATTTTGTGTTCAGCTCATTTTCCAGTTCTGTTAATTTACGAGAGGCTTTTACTTTGTTGGACACATCTTGACCTTGTGAAAACAGACGCTGACGCTCTTTGAATGTCAAGTTTTCAGGGGCTCCTGAACTTCCAGGTACATCGGCATCGTGGCTGCAGCAGAGCAAATGCAAACATCACTGGTCACATGGAACCAAGCTGTCAACACTAATGCCATTCAAAGTGAGGTAACCTGACACAATGGGCAATTAAGTACACTATTCCATGAGGGAGACTCATTCCTTGTTAAATTTGCCATAATCCTTCCCATGAATACAATCACTGGGGTTGTCGCTAGGCAGCAAAAAGGGCAGAACGTTCTCCTGAATAAACTGTTAACTTTCTCCAGCCACGTCCAACTCTCAAAACGCCGGTCACTTCAATATTAGCAGGCCGGGGATTCTTAATAGGTGAGCTAGCTAAAGAGGTACAGCTTAAAAACATGTAATTGTAATGAGTCCACATGGACCCGAGAGGCATCTATCAGTATACCTACCTTAACAAGTTAGTGTAAGATACTGAAGATTCTCTTGATGAGCTCAATGTCCGTGTTCTAAGAACTGTCTGGACTACAGCCTAGGTGAGGGTGCTCGGTGGAGACACGACGCTCATTTACTGTTTGTGCATCGTCAGGGTTGGCCTTAGGCAGTCTAACAGGATGTCTGGACACTGCCCTAGAATCTTCCACCCTTGTTGGCGGAGGCAGACAGCATCATGCCCCCCTCCTTCTGGAGTTCTGACCACTAAGCCTGAAACCTACATCACTGTCTGAAACACAATGCAAAATAAAAGAGCCTCTAGGCTCACACACTTGTGCAATGAGAAACGTCTGAGATGATAATGAAGTCTCTAAAATTCCACTCCAGCCTCCTACAGAACTAGCACAGCTGTAAATACCTTTTAGACGGTCTCTCTCTCGGATCCCGATAAGCATCATGGGCACCAACAGCTGTCCCAGCCGATCCCATGTAAGAGTTTGGTCCTTTTCCATAAAAGAAAAAATATCAAAGTTAAAGTGCCTGCGCAATTTCCAAAACTTTACTCATGATCAAGATGCAGTGCCCACGGAGGAGTACTAAAAATCTGACAGGAGCCCTGTGGGTTCGCGTCTCTCAGTGGCCCGAGTAACCCAATCACCAGGCTGCGCAGGTGCACGGTGCTCCGAACCAGCCACGCCAGCCATGTCCTTCGGGAGCGACAGCCAAAAGGTTCAAATCAGTTAAGATGCATAATTACCATGAATTCGTAAGAAAAATCCACAGAAGACTAATTCAAATGAGACTGTCAGATGCTCCTGACGCAAAGGGTTTCCTTACAAAATAACTGAGAGCAAATGTAACCCAACAGTAAGCAGTGATCACATGCCTCGAGTTTCTCTTTTCAGGGCAGCTCCTGAATTTTTTTGCTACATAAATGGCTATAATTACTAAAACAAAACTTTTTAAACAAATGAGTTACAGAAAAAACCCTACTGTTTAATATAAATGCTGTAAATACAAACTCACTCAAAACCAGACCCAAAGCAGTGTAAAGGAGGAGTGCGTGAGCCTGTGGGGATGCCCAGCCTGGGTCCCTGGCTCGGCCTGCGCCTGGCTCAACGCCTGGGGTGACTGACGGCAGCCAGCCTGGGAACAGCACCGCCCTCTCTAGCCAGTGTTAAAGATCAAAAAAGATGACACAGATAAAAATTTTAAAATGCATCCAAATATTACCACTAATGATATAGTATTAAAATCATAGTGCATTATGTCAGCACTCATATATTGTTAATTATAACATCAGCAAGAAAAAAAAATTTCATGCTTTTTGAAGAGCGTTTTGCTTACAATGATACAAGCTGGAGCAATAAATGCTCAAAATACTCAGCAAACGCTGACAGCATGGGTACTGGATTAGACAGGCCACAAAATCACTACAGTATCTCAACAGTAGAATTTTCCTTTTTAGACAGCAGCATAAAAATGATTTCTAGCTTCTTCTCTGGATGTAGGAACATGCTGTGCAGACCTAGCTGTTTGGCTGAGACACAGCGCAGGGCTGGCTGGGGCTCCTCGGGGCACTGCATCATTCCCGGTCCTTTGCCAGGGTCCCCGTGATCGCCACGTGGGAAGTCATCCTCCACAAAGACTCAAAAGATGAAACAGACCCCTATCTCCAACGTGGAGCAACCCAGAGCAGGCCTCCACAGCAATTATCAGCAGAGTAGAATTTTTTTCTATTTTAATTCTAAATTTTCGCTGTTTTAGAAAATGTTGCATTTTATCTTTTGAGTTTTGTTGTAAGAATGATACTTGCTTCTTCCACTGGTAAAAATCAATTCTTCAAAGTTTTCAAAGTTAATCAGAATATTAAATACTTTCAGTGGACTATATGAATTAATACTGCACATTTCAAGTAATTTTCAAAGATCTCCAGTTAAAGAACCTTTTTTTTTAAAAAAAATACCTTGCTATGCTAGAATGAGACACTGTTTATTCCAATTCGTACCCGTTTCCTCCTCCTCAGGCACCCAGTGGAAGAAACCAGCCCACCCGCAGAAGCATGAAAGTGCTCACAACAGAAGAAACATGAGCTGAACCCGGGGGTGCAGCCGTGTTAATGGGATGACAGTGAGGAGGTCAGAAATGCTTTGCATTTGGTGCAGACAGCTTTGTGCTTTACGAAGGAAGTCTTCAAAGAGGCACGAGCCATCAGACGCAGGATATAACCTGCTCCTATGTGGTCTTTTCGGTGTGAAATAAAATAAGGGTTAGTGGTATGAGTGAAAGCCAAGGTGGTCAGAAATGAAAACCTAGCCCAACATCGCGTTAGCAAACCTCGTCTGTGTCATGACACACAAGACCTCAAGCTTGCAGCTTGTAACATGACGCAAGGAGACTGAGGGCATCTCACTTCAAAAACTACTATTGTTCCAGGAAAGTCTTTCTAGACACCAACAACAGATATTTTATAAAAAGATTTAATTTTGACTTCTGAGTGACTCAGTCTCAATATTATACGCTGAGCCTTCGGAGTGGATCAAAGCTCTGACGCCGATGGGAAGAGAACGTGGCAGAACTCATTTGTTCTGGAAGAGCGAAGGTCACGCGTGTTTTTGACCATTCATCTTCTTTTAGAATTCTGAGTCCCGGGCATTGCACCAGGAGCATTTTAGAAGACCCTTGTGCCCATGAAGACCACTAAATCTGACAGTGTTTATTGCCAGCATTCTAATGTTAAGATTTTAAGAGGAACTTGGAGTTTGAATATTGTAAACATCCCTTCCAGTGCCGTCTTGGACACTGGTTATGGCGGTTGCGCCTGTGGGCAGGACCACCATCACGTCAGAGTTCGTATTAACTCAAGGCAACTGCGTGCCTGTCAGGATCTAGGTACCAGGACTGTGACATGCGGGGAACGTCCGTTAACAGGAAGGAACGAAACCGGCAAGAGGGAAAAAGAGTCATTTCACAACGACCGGGTTCCATGTCCCTGGCGTGAGGCAGCTCACATTACAGCAGGACCATCAACTCAGCATAGCGCCAACTACTCCACCCAAACTACCATGGAAAGTAGGGGTCATCTGGTAAACCACTGCCATGTGGTGCGTAAGCCAGAACAGAAAGTTCTACTCATGTTGGAGAACAGAACTTAGCATGTGACCCTGACACTGCTGGGAAAATGTCTTACTCTCATCTTCAGACACCAAGATGTGTGAAAAAAGCACGTGTTCAACCAAACGTAAGAGTTATTTAAAGAGGCAGAGAATGGAGGCCAAGACCAACAGTACTTCAAGTGACTGGGGGGTCCCGGAGGGCCAGCCACTGCTGGCAGGTCCGAGGGACAGAACCCTGCAGGTAGAAAGCAACTGGGGAGCTGGTGTAGTTGCCAAAACGACTCTCAGCACAGACAGGACAACTGGAGGTAGGGGGAGATCACCACACTGAGACTAGTGATCAGGCGAAATCAAATTCCAAAGCGAGTGCTGATTGAGGGGGCCCACAGAGCAGCAGGGTGCAGGGTCCCGATTCCAATCAGGAAGATAAAAGAGGGCTTGATTTGCAATCCCACATTTTACCTCTACCTTTCGAGTGGCTGGGCTGGTAGAAGCCTGGTTTTTTTGGAGGGGGCGGGGGCTGGCCTGTGGTGGGAGCAGTACTGTTGGCAGGGGCCGAGGGTGGCTGGAATGGGTTGGAGAGAAAGGTGCCGTCGGAGGCCAGGTGCGGCGGGCAGGGGGGCTGCTGTGGCTTAAGAGCGGCAGGAAGAAGAAAGTGCCCGTGGGGCTTCCTCGTGCAAGAGCGCTTATCCTGACCTGCCAGACTGCAGTCCTCCTCCTCCTCCTCTCCCTCGTGGTACGAGACGAGCCTGGCGGTGTACAGAGAGTCTGGGGACAGGGTCTGGGCCTGGAGGGAGGAGGCGGTCCGCTGAGGTGGGGGAGGAGGAGCAGCGGCCGGAGGGGACGGGGATGGGAGCTCGTAGCCCCGTGGAAGCGGGGGTCTGCACAGACCCGGCTCCTCCGGCTCCAGCAACCTGCGCTCGGCCTCTGCGTGCTGTCTGCGCCTCTCGGCTTCCAGGCGGCTGTAATACCCTTCTTCCTGTCGCCTCTGCACACGGAACAGACAAAAGCGCAAAGGTCAGAGTCAGGAGGGGCCTTCCGGGTGCACAAAAAGGCGCATTTTACCCTCTGCCCCCCGTCTCCACACTGATCACGAGTCCAGGGGACAGCAAAGTTTCAACGTAACAGTCTACGACAGAAACGGCCAGATCCGCCTGGAGACTCCCGGGCACGTTCATCCTATCGTGGGGTTTCTGGCACAAAACTGCTCCAAAGCACCGAACCAGTGCGCTCCAGGTCCTCGCAGGCTCCAGCTTCCCGTTACGACACCACTGTCCCCATCCAATTATCCCTCCAGACCCTTAATTCCCTGCTGCTCCTCTGTCTCTCTCTCTCCTCTGCTCTTGTGGAGTATTAACTTACCTGCGCCTGCTCGGTTTAAAGACAAAACGAAACCCAAACAGGCTCTAACTGGCTTTCTACAGCTGCTACTTGCAAGAACAGCAACCTGGCACGCATGCTTTTTCACTGACCCCGGGAGTCCAGAGAGCAGCCCTTCCCCTTCCTCGACCAGAAGGACGATTAAGTCACCTGGTTTATTTCCAGTTATTCAGAGGGAAGTTAACAGAAACCAACAACTGTAAAAAAAAAAATTACTCATTTTCCCAAGGGAACAATCTAACAAATATGCTTTCCACAGTTCTTAATTTATAGTTCAAATCTCAACAGACTCCCTGACAGACAGAAAATTAGAGAGCCAGGAATTAATAACAACAGCAACACGATATTCAAATATATTTTGACACATACTGTACATTTTCTTCCGACATACATCTGCACAGACTACAGTTGACAGAGTTGAAATTATTTTCACATTAAAAAAGGTAACAGCACAGTTCTGTTAAAGATTGACAAAAGTTCTAGAACACATGGGAAGAGTGAGTGTAAGAAAGGGGTTACAAGAGCAGACAGAAGGACGTGCCTCAACCTGGGTGTGTGGTGCTGCAGAACGGAGGGAATTCTCAATCCATTCAACCAAACGAAAACTCATTTTGGGGCCCCTGCTGGCATGAAGATACAAGTTTCGAGTCCCCCTTTTACCGCGTACACTCGTGTTTCCTCCCTGCTCCCTCTGGAGCACGCATGCACCGGACAACAGTGCTCAGCGCTTCCCCTTCTGAAGGAGGAAACTGCAAGGACCAGTGCCGGCCCCAGGCATGGCCCTACACCGACTCCTCACTTGATCTTCTCACTCTGTGTTGAGACATCCTGAAGGAAAGACATTTTGCACCTTATTTTCTACACAAAGTAAGTGTTTGCTTGGGGTTGGGGAATCCAATTCAGAATGACCCCTGTGGCCTTTACATCAAGTTGTCAGGAATCTTAGTGTGACATGGAGAACATTTTAGGAGGAAACCAAAATACCCTTTAGTTACATGGAGAGCAGATACAAGTACATGACCCCACAATTATTCTACCACAAATGAATGGCACATTTTCTATAACAAAGCAAGCCCAACAACTGTGGACATTCTGTATAAAAAATAGGTTATTCGGCTTCTTTTTACAGTGAGCACTCAATTCTAGAAAGCAGTTCCTAAGACACAAGCGTATTTGACAAAATCGTGAGTTGTGAGCACACATGCTGGAAAACCCGAGTAGTGCCCGAGCGTCCCCACAGAAGGCGCGCTGCTCCTGCGGCAGGGCCGTTCCCGCTCCCGCGCACGGCGGTGGCTCTGTGCGGGCCGCCCGGGCAGGCAGAGGCTGCACACAGCCAAGGAACAGCAAGACAACACGCACCCCAACGGAGGACCCGCATGGCTCACGTTTCAGAAAACTGATTTTGATTCTGACTCATCATGACACAAAGTAAAGAGTCAAGGGAGACCTAACCCTGAAAGCTCAGCTCCTTCAGAAAACTGCAAATCTACTGGGACACAGCTTTTGAAGATAATATAATGACAACTTTAAGGAATGGTGAAGGTCTAGAAGACGCAGAAGTCGCTAATTTCCATACAGGTTCGTGTGCTAGCGTTATTTACTCTACTTTCATTGAAATGAGTCACATCGTTTCTGTCATCTTGCTTTTCATTTGTTATATATCCGCATAGATTCTATTGCTACAAAAAGCTTCCTTAAAGTTCTGTTTTTGGGGGAGGAGGAGGGTGCTCTATGAATACAGTTCACTGGACTATCAAAGAAGGAGTGATGAGTAAGAACTGAACTTCTCCCCATCAGCAGCTGTGGTGCTCCCGGCCTCCGCCTTCACGGAAGGGAAGCAGCAGAGGAGATGCGCTTCTCCCGGGCCGCATCCAGCACGGGCAAGCCCTGCGGGAGGGCCCAGGCCGGCACACACAGCAGGAGGCCACAGGGCACAGGCAGAATAGGGCAAATCAGTTGTCATTTTAAAATTCAACTTAAAAGATTACTTTCATAAAAAAAAGAAATCCACGTATGGAAACCAAGTAGTAACTCAGGATACTTATCAGATTAGATCCTAGTTGAATTCTCCTTGAATCGTGTTTTTCATAAGCCATCAACCAGCAGTGAGTGATGTCAGTGAACAATCTCAAGTGCGGAGTGTGAACGGACTGTGTTACTACGTTCCTGGCGCCTCCCACGGCTCACACTCCCTCTGCCCGCCTAGCGCACAAGCATCCCCCTCAGAGTAACCAGCTGGACCACGTCCAGGAAAGGAAGAGCCCGGAGTACACGGGCGGGCTGCGAAGAGGCTCACTCATCATAACCAGGCCTACGAGTTCCAAAGTGGGAGAGAGACAAGACTCAGAGGGTAAGAAAGTCTGGACACAGTTCGGAAGGGAGGTAGGTCGGCCAGGTCGGGCTCAAGTGTTGGGTCCGATAACACAAGTGGGGATCCAGGCCCTGTTCTGTCTTGTACATCTTAGGATACAGGTCAGGTCTAGCCCCTTTCCCCAGCCCATCGACGGGTTCAGGCTAATCTGGTAAAGTGCTAGCTGCCCCTAGAGGACCATAACCTTTTCTTCAGCATCTCGCTTCGCTCTCTCCTCGTCCTGGCGACGCCGCTCCTCTTCCTGCCTGGCGCGATCTTCTGCTTCCCGCCTGCGCATCTCCTCCAGCTGCTGCTGACGCCTCCGCTCCTCATCCTGTAACTAACAACACAGTGCCTTGAAGCTCTGCTCTGCTCACCCACCTGCACGAGGCGTACCGGGCACATGCGGACACAGGCACACACACACAGTCAAATACAAGATACCAGGTTAGAAGCACTGTTGAAAGACAGTAAAACACACACGCCTTAGAGCTCTGTAGTTCAAAAATAAGTTACCTAAAAGCAGGGTCCCCACAGGTCCGTTAATTTCCCCATTAACTGTGGCTCAAAGAAGGAGGACTCTGTCTCATGCATTCACACATTAAGCAAGCATCGTTCTTGTATTAGAATAAATAGAAGTTTAACCAGCTCCTGTAAATCAGCAGACTCCAGCAACAGACAAAACCCTCAACTGATGGAACTCTGGAACCCACTCAACCCCCTGCGCTTCCTGGCCGCGCTCCTGTGAGCTGTGGCACGCAGATGCTGGCCTCCCCGGGGCGGGGTGCAGGCCCCAGCTCACGACTGCAGCGGGACGTGGGTCTGCGGAGAGCCCTGTGCAGAGCGGCCCGCCTCTGCCTGGGCACCAAGCTTCCAGCACGCCGGCCCGTGGCCATCCGCTCTCTCTGGACCCCATCCTGGACTTTGAGAATTCCTTCTCAGCCTGGGAATACCCCCAAACTGAGTCAGAGAATCTGAACCTAAAATCTGGAAGGAACCTTACTCTACCTCCCTCCTGCTACATCTCTGCCAAGTAATTATCCACTCTGTCTGAATAACTCTGGTGTCTGGGAACCTACTGCCTACCTCCCCGAGACAAGGTATTCTATTTTCAGGTAACTACTAGTCAAAAAGTTCTTCTGTGGGTCTAAAATTCATCACCTGATAGTTTGCTTTCTATTTTTCATCATTCAGGTTTTGCCTTTTTGAAACAACACAAAACAAATTTATTATCTTTCCTTCACACCATCCAAATGCTTCAGGATATCTTCAAAAATCTACGATGTAGCCTGTTTTGGTTTCCGGCTCCTTTATCCTCCTGGTCAGATTTCTCTAAGTACTACGACTTCAGGGTACCTTTGACCAGAACAGAACAGAGAATGCCCTTCTGCTGTTACAGGCCAGGATAAAGGTAACTCTGGAAGCTTGCTTCTCCGTTTCTGTCGTCTGTGACAGAGCCGGCCTGTAGCAGCGCCCACAGCCCTGCACCACCCTCGGCATCAAGAGCAGTGGATTCAAACTTTAAAAAATGAAAATGTAACTCAACGCCACCTCGTTTAACTGCTAAAACCACTGCAGGAATCCCTTACATAAAATCGCTCATGGTATGTTTCAGTATTTACAGAATTACTAGTTATTGTATAAACTGTTCATAGCAAAAAATAGAAACTGGATTTAAATTGCATTTGTTTGTTTTTTTAAACAAAAATGTAACGACTTCACTCTTGCCTGATTTCTCTGGAATAAAACACTGCATCTGGTGGAAAAAGTAACAAATTAACTTGTGTCACTAGACTTTTTCATGTCAGCAAGCAATATTAAGACACCTTAGGAAAAAATGAAAACTGCCTCGTCAAGAAGACAAATTTACTTAACTTCCTCTTTCAGTACAGTCTAGAAATAGGCCAGGAGGGAGGGCAGGGTGGCTTCTGGAGCAGGGGCAGGTGCTGCTACCTGAGAACCCCAGCACCAAGGAAGAACTGTCCAGCGTCCTGCCCTGGGGAGAGTCCCCCATGGAGGGCTCACAGCCAGCAGCGTGAAGACTGATCAAGCATGTTATAGTCATCAGTCCAAGTTATGAGAAACAGTCAAAATGAACAGCCACTGAGAACAGTAAATATTCTACAGAAGAGTAACTTATGGAAGAATGTAAAACTGCATTAGTGAAAGAAGTTTTTGTTACCCAATAAAGCACAAACTAATTCATCATGTTATACTTTCTAGACCTAATTGAAAACAAGTCTGAGCAAGAAAACCAGTATCCACTGAAACAGCCCACTCGTTCTTTTAAATTAAAGAGGAGTATGATTTTAAGAAATGAGAACAGTTACAATTCTCATAATTACAGGTACAGAATGCTACACCTTACGAATCGGTAAACAGACTCTTTCTCTTAAAAGCCTTCATTCTTGTAAATCTGGACGGGGTAAGCAAGGAGACGCCTCTTGGGTTGGGTTCATTAGTGCCTGTTTTTAAAGTCGACCAATGAGCTGGTGCAGTCAGGACCAGGGCAGCCTCTCTCCACCGCAGGGGTAAGCTGCTTCATGTCCTCTCATCTGTTTTGTTCAAAACTCAGACTGTTTTGTTCTTCATATGTACGCTGCTTTACTCTACCCTCCTCCCCCAAAACCATTAAGGACAGAAAAGAGAATCCAATCGCTTAATTTACCCCAAATAACAGCTCAGAACGGTACACTGAGCTGACAGTCATGACCAGTTAAAGGGCAGCTCAACTTGTTACAAATTTCATGGCTGAGATCCGATGACAAACTATGTTAACACTGGAGTTAAATGAATAGAGATGAGCTCACTGTTTTACAGGAAAGGAATGCCAAGTGACATGTATCAAAGCCGTCTCGTAGGAAGTTACATTCAGGGGAACAGATCTGAGTAGACGGAAGGAGAATTCTTACAGAATGAACACAAGGCAGCCCAGACTAAAGCTATTCTAAACCAAGAACTTAAGCTGGGATTTCAAAAGCCAGTCCTCTAAGCCTGAACCAGTTTTGCTACATTGGTGGTCCCCATTTCTAAAAAAGACATTTTCAGGTAAAAAAAAAAAAAAAATCATGTTGAAATCTATGTTTATGATTTTATACCACAAGACCCTAAACTGTATCTTAAATTTATAGTAAAAGCCCCATTAAGGGAGACAATCACACCGAGATAATCGGAATACAAAAGAGGACCAAGGTGTCCCTTACTTTTTGACATTTTCACTGAAAATATCATTAAAAGTCTGTTGAGCAGATTGTCCTTAAGAACTTGGGCAAGACTTTTCTGCCTATGTTCCCACCCATTAAAAACACCCTAAAAATTTTAATACCCACCCATGAGGAACCACTATGATCAGGCCCCTTACTACCGCTGGGCGCTGGCCCGACTTGGGTCCAGAGCAAGTCCTCAGCTAGCTGGCAGCCCCACGCCAGGGGCGTTGAGGACGGGGCGCCATCCTTAGGAGAGCCGTCCGCACAATGTCGGGCACTCCATCAGTGGGCGAGCTCCCTTCCTGGGCGCGGCCCGTGCTTCTGCCTTTGCAGTGTAAGGAGAAGGACAACTCTGCCAGGAGCTGTAGGACCTACAGCTTAGCTGCTCCAACAGCGGCAGAGACATGAAGTTACCCCCAAGGAGGCCGTGCGGCTCAAAGGGCCCACGATGTGCACTCACAGTTCTCTTTGCGCAACTGTCATATCTGACACAAGCATGTGAATTTTGTGTTCTACTCGGCAACATGGGCAAGTTGGTTTGACTACGCACACACTCTCCTCCTCATTGCTGGGAGGACGGCCCATCGTTCGGCTCCCACTGCCCACTCCTGCAGCCAGGCACTCCCGTGTGAAGAGGCAGTGAGCAGCCCGCCTCTCCGAAAGGGTACCTTGCAACTGGTTTCCGAATGACTCTTGCTTTCAGTCCAGCCCCTTCTATGCCCAGGTCGCTCGGGTCTGCCCAATTCCTACCGTCCCACATGAAGACCAGACAGGAGGGCAGGGGACGAGGGCAGATCTAGCCTGGAGGAAAACAGGAGAGCCACCGAAATCCTTGAAAACGTCCCTTCGCTGGCACTACCCCAAGGTAGAAGAATTTTCCCCTTGAGCTGTCAGGTCATCTGAGTCAGCGGATGAGTCACTGCCACGGTACCAAGACAAAGCCTGAGACCAGCCAACGGGAGACTGTCACTAGTTGAAAGATGGTTCCTAGCAAGAGTCTCGTGAGCAGGAGACATTTTTGTGCAGCAGACTTTAAAACAACCATAAAGGGAGAAAACTCTGGTTAGGATCCGGACTGTCTCTATGACGTAAGGTGGATCTCTTCCACACCGGCCTTGCCCCTCTGTTCCACCCACATCACAGGGCTGTCATGAGGGAACAAGAGAGTCATGTATGTAATTAACTGGCAGCCTAGGGCAACAGAGGTATGACGTGCTGCACACCCCGCCACTGGGTAGAAGGACCGGTGGCCCTTGGCCCTCAGCCGGAGGGCTGACAGCACCCACCCCACAGCGCAGGTGCAACAGGGAGGGCAGGCTGGGGCGGGGGAAGGCACGGATGGAACGACAGCACTCCGTGGCCATGGGAAGACTGAGGACGCTTCTCTAAGGGACGGGGAGCGTCTGCTGGGTTCTGAGCACTCCTGAGATCGTACGTTTTTAACTAGGGTCCCTGTAGCTGCTGTGTTGAGAACAGCCTGTATGGGAACAAAGGTGGAAAAGGGACTTGAGGGAATGGCAGTGGCTCAGGCCAGTGTGGTGTCCAGGGGTCAGATTCTGAGAAAGTAAGGACAGGAGAATTTCTCAACGGAGAGGAAGGGGGGTTATGGTTCCTAAGGTTCGTAGATGGGGGCAGTTAGGAGAGTCTACTGAAATGGAGAAGGCTGAAGGCAGAGGAGATGAACAGCACGGCAGGCGGGGGTGGGGAGAGAAGGCGTTTCGGGTGGAACACACTGGGGTTTGCAAAGTCTTATCTGACTCCCAGTGGAGGTTACATGGCCCAACTGTGTACAGGTCTTTGCTCCGAGAGGGCTCGGGCTAGAAATGTCAATGGGCGTCCTGGATCGGAAGGCGGCCCATTGAAAGAGCAGAGGGCGAGCAGAGCCAAGCCTGCTGAGACGGGGCTGCTCCGGAGCAGAAGACCTGCTCCGCTGAGCCCAGTCATCCCCACAAACATCCCGTGACGTTCCGTACGAAGGGCACACTGTAAAAACGGCACGGCATGCGCTGCCTACCCATCCGGTCACACCCACCACCGCCCTTCATCTCAGGGAGAGGACTGACACCTAGCAGCGGAGGTCCCTCCACACAACCTGCCCATTCTGACAAAAGGATTCTCTAGATACTGACACTGCTGCCAATAACATTAATATTCGCTGGGTAATCAGGCTAAGAAATGCTCAAAAATGTGGTGGTTAAAAAGTCAGTATTAATACTCAAAATAATTACCTTTTAAAGAAATAAAAACTGAACTGTGTCTTTAAAATACAAATCTTCGTGTAATCCTTTCTCCTTAGGTATCATTCACCTGTCACGTCATCTGCGTAGTGGGTTCTGGCCGGGCCCACAGAGCTGGGGAGCCCCTTACAGCCAGCCAGTGCGTCGGGTCAGCACCCGGGGGTAACGGACCCCCCCAGGAGCGTGTGCGGAATGAGCACCTGACACAAAGAAACCCCCTGCCATAGGTACACCTTACCACACAGAAGCATGGAGAGAACATATATATTTTATCTTTGTCTCCTATTAAAAAAAAAAAAAAAAAAAGGAAAGCTAAAATAATCTGCCCTTCGGCCGTCAAGGAGCTGCGTGCACGAGAGGCTTCTCCCTGGAGCGACAGTGTCGCCACACTGTTTAAAGGCGGAAGAAAAAGGGCTGTTGTTTGCTGAAAAGGCCAGCAAAGTCAGACCTGGACTCAGGGACTGTCCACAGTCCTGGTGTCTGATGCTGCCCATGTGCATTCAGAAGCCGACTAACAAAAGATGACCTCGTTAATACAACAGATACATCAGCCAGGCTGTAATCCTCTGGCCAATGACACAGGTAATAGCACCAAATTTCCCACTACTGACGTCAAACCCACCGAAGTTACAACAGAAAAGGACCCCGGCATTTTTCGGCAGACGGTAAACTGGTACGGCTGATGAACTAAACTGAAGTCCATGTGAAATTATTAAAGAAAACAAAGAACAAATGTTTACCGAAAAGCTTTCTTATTCTACCAATAAACAGTAATATCCTGGACAGTTACATCTTAATTGGCAAAACAATGTGAATACCAATTCAATTGAGTTTCTAATAGTTGATTATTCAAAATCTATTACCAAGGTAATAATAATGAAATAGATTAGTCATTGCAAAAGTTCTTTCATTTGCTCATGTGTTTATGACTACGTAAGAATACACAGAATCAACTTTATGACTGAGGAAAGGTCAAAAACCATAAACAAACAGTAACACTTAAAATTAAGGGGGAAAAGCAAAGAGGAACTAAATCTAAACACACTGCAGGCATGCTTCTTGAGAGGCACGAACTATCCTGCACTAGGACACCCCTAGGAACTGGTCTACTAGAAACACAAAACCACCACCACTGAGAGAAAAAAAGAAAATCAAGACAGGAAAAAAGTACCAAAGGAAAGAAATGAGAACATACCAAATCTAGAACAGAGATTGCTGGCAGAGCAGTCTGCTGCAGGTAACAGAGAGGAAAAAAAAGAAAGATGAAGTGTGAAAAAAAGTCAAGTTTAGACCTGTATTCCACCACCACCGGCGCGTCGGCTGCTCCCGCATTTCATCTGCGTCTGAAGGACAACCCAACGAGAACAGTAAACGCTACAGACCGGCTTCCCAAACTCAGAAATAGGAAAAGGTCCACAAACGTATTAAACACTTGAGTTTCGTTATTAAGATACATGGAAGAAACTTTAAAAAGTATAATTTCCCTGAGCTCATTACTTGGGAGACTAAGATATTAATCTTAAATATGATTAGTGATAAATACACAGATACTTTTCTAACTAAATTATCATAAAAAACTTTCCAAATGTCATAATTCATACTAAAAGCCTTTGAAATAGTCACTGTTTGAACAACCTGGAAAACCTGACAGACCCTTAATAAAAATCCACTGTAAAGAATAAATGCAGCCATGTCACAATGCAGATGCTAACGTCCCACTCTGGGATGCAGTTACCACAATGGAGGTTCATGATGTCTGCTGACTTACCAGAGACCTCAGCTTCACACTCAGCATGGACGGCAGCAAATGGCACGCTCTCCTGTTTTGGGGGTGAGAGATCTGAGGCCGGGAGCACACGCAGCTCCTGGGACGACCCGCTTGTCACTAGGGACACGGGCCAAAGCAGAGGACCCTGCACCGAGCACTCAGCCACTGGGTACACAGGGGCCTGGGGTCCTGACCCCAGAGTGGAAACTGCGCAAAGAATCCTAACCCTGTGAGTGACCCGTTACTGATCCACCAGTTGCTCTTTCAAATATAACAATACTGATGGTAAGCAGAGCTGTTTTTAAGGACGTTTATTCCTGGTGACTCGGATAATACTGATAAAATCATGTCACAGTTAAGATTTGGGCCTTTGTTTAAGATACCTCAGTGTTCCAGCTGAATTTGTGGCCGAGTTCCATATACCTTTTGCTGAGAATATGTGCGTAATAATAAGTGTGTGACATGTTTCAGGAAAATAATTCACAGGGCAAACTCGAAAAGGGATCAGACTGCTGGCTTTATGTACTAATAATTATCTAAGATTAAGCTGCATCACAATGTGGAAAGACTGAAATGTCTGACCTAACAGTTAATTTGTTTAGATCTCTAGTACAGACAGCATGAAATCAAAGTTGCAATTAGAAACAAAATCCAGAAGTCATGCTCCAGGCTGTCTTTCCCCAGAACACTGCACTGTAGAGAACTCACTGACATGTCACGGTCAAATGCCTCTCCCTCAACAGTTCTCTTGACAGGGTAACAAAGAATCTTAAATTTGGCACTTTAATGATCTATCGCATGCAACTAACATAAATTTCACTTATTTTGATACAAAGGAATAAGTTACTTTTATCAAATGGAGAAATAGGAATAAAATCCTAAATTCTCAGTAATCTTTATACTTACACCACTGAAATATAGTTGTTTAATTTGATAAGTATCTGCCTCATCAACCAAATGAGCACTCTGCAGAGTGCTCTTTCTGGTAATGACATTAAACCCGTAACTCTGAAGTTCTCAAGTCTTCTTTGTTACCCACCATCCCTCACTGATCATCGAGACCAGGGGTCAGCAGACGTCCTGCCACCTGTGAAGGACGTTTCGGGGCGCACCCTCGCTGCTCGGGTACCGTCTAAGGCGGCTCGTGTTGTTTGACCACGGAGCTGCGCCATTAAAACAGCCCGTACGGCCCACGCAGCCTCCGATACTCACTTTCTGGCCATTTGAGAAAAAGTTTTGAAAACCCCTGATGAGGATTATTACTGGTTACTAACAAATTAGTGGTTATTAACTTGTTTTCTCAACTGAAGCGTTAGTGAGAAGGACAACTACGAGTTTGCTAATTAAAACAGCAAAGTTCCATGTGGATGGTATTTACTTTTCAACATCTAAGCCTCTAACCCTGGCTCACCCTGCAGGACGCCAGCTAGCAGCGGTAGGTACAGTAACACGCGACAGGCCAGGGCCCTTGCCAACCCTCCGGGAGCCCGGGCGTGGCCACCCCCACGAGCGACACGCACAGGTACGCACGCCCACAGCACTTCTCCCCTTTACCCTTGCTCTCCGCTCAGCCTCGAGGCGCTGCATGATCAGCATGGTATCCACGTCATCGTCCTCCTCTTCCTCGTCATCCTCGTCCTTCTGTTTGGACTCCTGGAGTCTCTTCTGGAACTGCCATTCCAGCATGAGTTTCCGCAGACGGTCGTTCTCCTCTGCACTGCGCTCAGGCTTGTTCTGGAGCTCTTGGATCTCCCTGCTCAACATATCCACAATGTGCATCTGCTGTTGCTTCTCCAGCTTCTCCCGGGCATCCCGCTTCCATGGGTCTGGGGACAGACTGTCTCCGGACGACAGCTCCTCTTGGCTGACTGTAATGTACTGCAGGTCTCTGCGCTCGATCGTGCGGGGCTGCTGCTGGGGCTGCAGCTCCCGAATGACCGTCTCTTGGGGCCTCTGGAGCGTAGAAGGCTTTTCTGGCTTCACGTGTGGGACGGTCACAGGAGAAAACGGGGCCGGGTTCAGGGACTGGGAGCGCATCTGGCCCAGCTTCCGCTCCTGCTCCCTGCGCTTCCTGTCCCGCTCCTCTTCTAGACGGGCCTTCTCCTTCTCATACCACCGCTGGTGCTCCTCCCGCTTCCTCCGCTCTGCAGCCGCTGCCTGAGCAGATGCAGGTCCGGTCTGGCCAGCAGGAGGCGGAGGGAGAGGCAAGTCCATGGGCATTCCGTCGAAGTCTCCAGCGTAGTGCGTGGGGGGCGGCGGGGGCGGCGGGGGCAGGTCTGTCTGCACAGGCTGGGAGACGGCCACCGTCACGGGCTGCACGGCGGCTGGCGTCTTCCAGCGCCCAGGGCCGCTTTTGGTCAGAGTGGACGCGGGGGTGCCTGACTTGGAGGAGTGGTCCAGGTGCTCTTGGCTGGAGGTGCTGGAGCCCACGGAGGAGCTCTGATGGATCCACATATCACTATCAGACTTGCGATCCAAGACTGCCTCGATCCGATGCCGCTCTACCTGGTAAACTTTATCCTCCCGAAGTTCCTCTTGGGAACGGGTAACACGCTGGAAAAAGGAAAAAGGAAAACTTCTATTTCAGCCGCTTAGAAAAAAATTACTAAAACGCATAAATGTTTTATCTTTGGGGAGAAAACACTGTGGGGAAATTGTTAAGAGAGTGCCGAATAGAGGTTGAGACCGTCCAGCTCCGTAGCTCTGCGG